TCGACAAACAGGCACGACGCTTCCTCCACTAACAGTTCCGTTTCTCCTCTCTTACCGCACGAGTGCGAAATTCGTGCCGCGTGTCGAAACTTCCGACCAACGACGATACTACTAACGATAAGGCGTTCCGTTGCAAATGGAATTAGTTGTACCTGCGTCGACGTATCGCGATGCAAATGAGTCGTTTTTGACACGAGAAGAAATTTCCTCGTTACATATACAATAAAACTAAAAATTTTGAATAAAGATTGGTTATCTTTTTTTTTGCTGCAAAAGAGAATAAATATTTTGATAAAGATATTTTTATAAACTAAACGGAATTAAATATATTATATAATTAATTCAATAATTGTTCATTAATGATTATAATTTAAACTGCCTTTCTTATTACACAGTTGGCCTTCAATACACTTTATGAACGTTATTTATGAGACACCGCATAAAATTCGTATGCAATTTTAACTCTTTGTTTTTTAAAAACCTATTAACTTCTTGAATTTATATGCAATAACGCGGATTATAATCCCCATGAGGACAGAAGAGAAAGAGAGAGGAATAGTGTCGAGAAAATGGCATAATTCAAGCTGGCCACAAACAACACAGAGAGAAAAAGAGAAGCCGAAGTAATGACGGGTTACTGACAAACGATACCACAGCGGCAATTATACTGGCGGGCTTTGCGGGACCGATATTCAGCGAAATGCCTACGAAACCGTTGTGATACGGCTGTCCATCGATATTAATTGATAAAACGGATTTCGAATTACTCCCGCGGCGTCCGATGATATTTTACAACTCGCGGAAATCCAGCTTGACGAAGTATGACAGCAGACAGCTCGATCGCGATCGGCCGTTTGGCACGGAATAAAACGGTTTTGTTAAAATCGATATATAGAGGCTATTTCAAATCCCGTTCCCTCCGACCCTTTAATTTCACTGACAGATCCTTTGGACAATTTGGAGTTGAAATTACAATCTGACAATTTGGTACATTTTATGTGTACATTGGGCTGAATCAGCAAACTCGTAATATCGAGAAAATGGTATAACCAAGTTTTAAAAAGTGCTCTTGTTGCTCAATTATAATGACAATTATTAAGTAATAATTGTCGTTAAATAATTCTATGGAATATTTAAAATTTTATTTAGATAATTATAAATTTTTTTTAAATTAACATTACAATATTAATTTAAATAATGTTACAAATTTATTTAGAATATATTTTCTACTTTTCCACATGTAAGTTTTTTATAGATATATGCTTTGATAGTACTTTCATTAATATTATTTTTATTTTTAATTATATATCTGCAAAAAGGCAAAGAACTAATTGCAAAGACTAAAGCTAACTCTTGGATTATGAGTTATGACGTTATTGTCTTCTATTTTTGTTGACCTACATTCTTTGCTTATAGAATAATCCTAAAACTATACGTATCTTTAAATTAAATAAATTTTCATAAATATTTAAAAACAGAAATAAAAGAAAAAAGGATATGTATGTACATGTTAAAAGAAATAATTAACAATTGATAAATAATAATTAATAAAATCATTAAATAGCGTACATACATATTTGCGACTATGATTGCTTGAAATAGAAATCTGCCACTATTGTCGCAAACGATGCGTGACGCGTAGACTCAAGGAAGACACGGTTTAATTTCCAGTCGCGTGAAGATCGAGTTCGTCGAGGCGGAAGAACGGGGTCATTCATTAAGACGACGACGCTGCAAAGTCCGTTTCCGGGCGATATACCGGACAATTTGTTCCTCGCCGTAATCGCGACGCATTCGCGCGTTACTGTGTACCCAATAACGCTAACGAGATTGCCGTAGATTCACGCACGTTGTGTCTAAGCAAATTGGCGGGCAAACGTTTGGCGAAACCGGCTGACAAATCGGACCGATTCAGTTGCGGCACACGTACGAAGCAATTCTAAGTTCCAGAAAACCGAATGTCTCTGCGACTGAATAGCTCGGTATGAAATTTGTTCCGCACGAGATTCAATAAACGAATTGTCTTATATTCTTTATTTTAAATTTTGTTGTCACTTTAATCATGAAAAGTTGCCTTAGAAAAGAGTTTTCTCTAATGTAATATAATGTAATTAATAATGCATTATTAGTGTTACTAATACTACAAAGAACAAATTTTTTTCTGATATAAGTATATTCCTTAATATATGAGTTTTACGATTCAAATAATAAAAAAATCAAAACATTAAAGGCATTATACGAAAATAGAGTGACAAGAGTTTACAATGATCTTCAGAAGATTTAAAAATAATATCCGAGAATTTAATTAACCGAAAATTCCATTTTGAAAAATGTTAAAGCAAGAGAATTGAATTGTTTATAAAATTGCGGTATTAGTCAAAACAAAATTTTATTAAGGGAAAATGTTTGAGGTTTGCAAACATTTACCCCAACTGAAAATGATTGATCTAGTCCGATTGTAAACTAAGGACTTGAAACTGAGATCACAGGCTGCCAGAACTAAGGTCACGCTGAATAGGGTTTATGTGTCAAAGGGTTATACTGTTGTATGAAGGAGCACACAGGCCATGACAACCGTATTTCCTGTAACCACAGATCAATAGAATGGTGCGCGTATGCTATCAACGTGATGCTACAAAATATATTGCATCAGGAGATTTACTTATAAGTAGAACCGATTAAAAGGCTTAACTGAACGTGAAGAGTTAAATTAAAAAAAGATTAAACAGTTAATAGATACTCGACAGCATTAAATTCTCACGATTAAATAAAAATAAACGAGAAAATTGAGAATGCATACATTAAAAAAAGGTCAAATAAAATAAATCAAATTTTTGATATGTAAAGATAATGTACCTAAATTTATATACACTTTTTCCTTTTATTTCTAACTTTATATACATTTCTAAATGTATGTACATCTTTTATGTAGTTTTTGAATATTATTAAAACATGGCTTACAATTTAAAATTGATAAAGAAAATCTAAAACAAAATATAAAATAAAATTAAACAAAATCATTGAAACTTCAAATCCATTAATTTAAGTGTCATAATTAAAAGAAAGTTAAAATTTTTGTATTGCATTTTTCAAAAAGTTTAGTTATATTATTCTATACGAATATCAATGTAATTTGATTTTTATAGACATATTTTGTTCATTTATAATTAATTACTAATTGATAAATGCATTTATAGACTTTAGCTCGTTTTCTTCTTAATTCATTACTTATTGTTCAAATACGTTTTCTCATGAAGACATTTACGTTTATGTGAAAACCGACATAATGCAGTACTATTAGCTACACAGCTGAGTATCCGCGCATTCCTGCGGTGCCAGCGACGTAACCGGATTATGTGGCATGCATAGGTGAATTAGCAGGCAAATGTTCGGTAAATTCGTTTGTTAGCCGATCGATATGTCGTGGTATCGGTATCCAGCAAATTCGATTGTCCGAATAGCGACCGAGATGCTCGATAGAGTAAGGTAACAGTACTATGAATAGTAATATAACATCATAATTTTCTGGTCAAGATATTTAATAAATGCGATTGAAAAACAAACTTTAAAATAATTTACGATATAGGGGAGAGTTGCCAAATGCGTACCGGTCTCATAAAACGTACCTCTTCAACATTTTATAGTTCCACTTAATAGAAACAGCATCTAGTAATAAAAATATGAAGTAAATAAGAATGTATAAGATAGACAAAAAATGAACAGGTTATATCTTGTTTTGTGCATGCTATCAACATTTAAAAAAATCAGATACAATTGCGATGTAAATTTTTGATCAATTTATATAGCTGATACTAATGTAACCATGCAATTTTTAATTAAATCGTTATTTTTTCCTAAAAGAAATAAGTTTATGATAGCATATTTTACATTCATTGTATATACATATTTCCAATTATTATAAAAATTATATCAATATTTTTATCATCTCTGTAAAGTTTCCTAAATCGTACCTAACCAGCTAACTAGCATAAGTTCTTATATCGTATCGGTACAATTTAGGAACACTAATGTATCTTTATTTTTAGATCACATGACATAATCAACATTATTTATTTTAACACGATCGAAGTTGTTCTGTAGCAAGTCTATAGATGCAAAAACCATCATCGAGTTGCGTAAACAAAAGTAAAACAGCTATTGTTTGATAAATTACAATTAAAATATAGGTATATGATTCTTTTATCAATCTTGTGTTTTTAATTATTTTCATTTATAAATTCATTAGTTTAGAAGGAGGTATTATTAATAAAACTGCCAGATACGATTTAGGCGACCGGTTTGCTGAATCGTGCAGCTTTTGACAGCATGTTACAAAAAAGCTTAGAACAAATTAATTTGCTATTAGTGAAAGATTTAACATGTAATATTAGATACCTTGAACATCAAGTTACAATTTACCAACATTCGTTTGCATTCTAAATAGTACCAAATGTGAAATATAACCAAAGATATCTTAAGTGGTACGCATTCGGCAACTCTTCCCTACTTAACTATCTTATAATCTTTTTTTTATCTTTCTAATACCTACGTTTCTTTAATTTTACTATTTACAATTTATTTATACAATTATATATTTTTTAACAGTTCTTAAGAATAAAATTGCAATTTAATTTAACATAAAAGATGTTGAAGTAAAAAAATTTCTGATTACTTCAATCAATAACATCACATTTTGTAGCATGTAATTTAAATTTTTAAACCAAACGGGGTCGAGAGTTACTTATCTCGTTTAAATAACATTTATCTCGCTCAACTTTACTCGGGATAAAATGAAACAACCAATCGCGAACCAGCACGTTTTCCTCGCAGGCACGACAGACAGACGTAAGAAATGATCAGGCGCGGAAGCGTTTTAACGCAAGCACTGTTCAAAGTTACGATGAAGCTCACGTACTGCTTGAATGCGTTCTCTCGTTCGTCCGTACATCAAAAGTTCGACCCCGAAGATCCATTAAACTTTATCTCGCTACTTGACTCACCGTTTCGCAAAGTTGTCTAAAGAAATTCCACCGAGGGTCCCTCAGTTTCTCCTTTTTTTCCGCCTTCTTCGTCCCTATAAGCTCAGTGCACCGTGTAACACATGAGACTGCTTCGCACCTGTGCAGCACGTCCACTAGCGCACCATAAATCCTGGGGAGATGGGGAAGGGGAACGACAAAGAGCATATAATCTCGTAAAAACAATCGGCTTTAGATATTCGCGGCCGGCTTTAATTGGTCGATTCGTTTTATAATTTCGATCCTCTCGGAGCGCCGGGCGGCTCGCCGCGATCCCGGTAGATCGAGCGTCGCGCACCACAATACCGGTTTCGTGAAAGTGGATTACGCACGTGGAAGTGAAATTACAACTGCCTCGAAAAGAGGAAGGTTTGTGACATTTAATGCAAGTTACAGGAGCACGGACAGACCCCCGGCGCGAATTTGAAAAATGCCAACGGGAATGATTTCGTTTTTAAAACAAGTAATTACTTTAGGCGCTGCTTTCTAATTTTATAATATATACCAATTCCTAAATAAGATACCTTGAAACCGGAAAGAAATATTTCCTCATTTGATTTTCGTCGCTTATTAAAAAACTAACTCAACTCGTACAAACGGTACTAGATTTACAGTATCGCTAATATTACCACTAGGTGTTGCGTTGAATCGTTGCATACGCTATATCGAGTGACTGTAATATGCTAATAGAAATGTTTGATTCATGTTTCATGCAGAAGTGTAAAGTAGACGGTCGAATTTCCAAATTTCACATATACATATGTACATATATGTATATTTAGTATAGTAACTGATTGGAATTGATTAAAAAAATAGAGACAAACTATTGGAGAGTTAAAAAATTATAAACATAATTAAAAAATACAATACTCATAATTAAAAATTAAAATTACACACTCTAAAAATTACAACGTTGACATAACGCTTTATTCCTTTACGGAATAAATACCAGCAATTTATTCAATTTGAGAAAATTACAGCTCTGGGTAGCTCTGTAAGTAATTATTTAAATCCATATAATAAAATTTACGAGTTATTTTTATCATAATTTACACGCATCTTTGAGAACGCGAATTTGAAATGCAAATAACAAATTAAATACTAATTGTTAGTTAAATATTAGAAAAATGTTAGTTAAATATTAGATATCGTACTTCTAGCTATCGTGAAACTTTCGCGACGGTACTATCACTTGATGGACATTTTATGCGAGCGACGTTCTTAAAGGTGAACGTTAGAACTGGTAGTGGAACGTAAATTAGAAACGGAATGCCTGTAATAGCAACAGCTTCAAGTACGCGGATTGTTACGAAACAGTCGATTTATCGGTCAAAAACCTCTTTTCGCATTTCGATTTATTGGCCTTAGTCCGTAAAACAAACTATCACTATATCAAATTGCATCTTAATGCACGAACGCACAAACAGCGATTGTGCAAAATGTTTACTTGATATAACAATAAATAAAATATAGATATGTTGTAACATGGATACATATTACGTATAAATTATTCATCAAAGTACTACTGCGCTTTTGCAATTATTTGATATGTAACAACGATCTACGTACTATTCAAATTTTGAAGCGATAATGGATCGTTCTAATTATATCGTATCAAAATGACGAAAAAAGTTTCTCTCATTAATAACGAATTTCCCGCGAATTTTTGCACGTTTATTTACTCTACAAAAAATTTGCGATTTAACTTTATTTCTCCAAGCTTGCTCCATTTTACATTTTTATCTCTGTCTAAATCGATGTTTTGTTTCGAGTCTGCCGTCAAAAAAGTTTCTTTGTAACGATCACGCTCTATCGCTCGGCGACAATGATAACATATAGGCGATCCCTAATTCCCGTTTCACATACATACGGTAACACGGTTCAATATACAGCGATCGATCATCTACAGCCAATCAGACCCTACGTACCACCCGGGTGCGGCCAAACAAATTATTTCCTCCCGATTAGATCAACGCGATGCGGTAGCATAACACGGACAAGCCTAACACAGTCAGTCATCGAATTAAATTGCACGATCACGTGCGATGCATCGGCGTTTTGTGTATCTCACATTCACACTTACTTTTCGCTTGACCGCAATATTCGCCGCGGAGAGAGTACTTATTAGAGAGTGAACTCTTACTGGAGCGACAATCTTCTTCAATGTTTACGACCTTATAAATACACATTAAGAATAATACTACAGGTTTTACTGATATTCATGTCATCGTAAAAGTGCACGATAAATAATTAAGATTACAACTGAAGCGTATATTTGTATAAAGATGTCTTAAATTTTGTGCTCATTTAGCAAATATTCTTTAAATATTTTTTTTAATTAATATGTAATAAAAAATGTTAAGTATTTCCATATTTTTTATAAATCTTAATTTTTAATGTTAATATCTCAATAACTAATTTTTCTTGAAATTTGATTTATATACAAAATCTATTTAAAATAAATTAGAAAATTTTATTTTTATTCTTCTTTCGTCATTTTTTTTATTATTATGTTTAAAACTCATTGATAACTTAAGTAATTTAATTAAACAATTAATTTCATGTCTCTAAAAAATCTTATTACGAGAAATAAATACGAATCTTGAGCTAAATAAATTCCTTAAAGAGTTCCATTTAAGCTTTTAGGCAATTTTTAATGTTCAGTCATTCATGTTTTCGATTTTATTGCTCCAGTAATGAATTCATTATTAAGACGTTATTTTCAACACTGTTACCGGGAGCAATCTGAGGCAGTTGTCATCAATTTCAATCCACGTGATATCGATCAGACACGCGGAGCAAGTGTCAAAGCCGGCGCGCGAGTGCCCGCGGCAGCGAATAAAAGGAGCCGATATGAGTTGGCCGCACTAAAACCTCGGAAATTTCCGTTCGCGATCTTGCTGAAATCGGCACGCGCCAAGACCGATCTCAAACGTGCCACGAGAAAATGTACTCGATACTATTTATTCCGGCTCACACGCTCCCGTTCCCACGAGTATCGAGCGAGTTTCCGTACCTAAAGGCGAGGGCAGAAAAAGGGAAAACAATGAGACGAAGAACCTGGCACCGCGATTTGCCAGGTGGCACGCGAACAACTCGAACGGACAGACGGACGAACGGACGATACCCGAAGAAGCTCAGCCCGCTGTACCAGATGGAGGTCTACCGAGACACTGGCGACTTCTCTCGTTACCAGGACATTCGCCAAGTCTCTCGCAAGTCGAAACCAGAGAGAGAAAGAAAAAGAGACAGAAGAGAATGGTCTTCTCGTTCTCTTCCTCTCGCATGCACGGTGGCCGCGCTCGCTCTCTCTCGCTCGCACTCGCTGCTTTTCATGATTTTCTCCTGTCTCCCCGCCGCCGCGGCGGCGGCTCGTACTCTGGCGAACACGTGGGGAGAGTGAGAGGTCTCCGTGAATGATTTCGCGGGGGCTTGGCCCGAATGGCCGCATATATGTCACGGTAGCGATCGAAGAAGTTGTCTCTCTTCCCATGAGAAAAATGTACTATGTTGTTGACGATAGTTAGATGGAATTGATGGTTGGCGTCGGAGGCAGATTGAATAATTGGTTTACATTTCTTTGAGTCTGATCATGAATGGATCAGACATTCTTAATCTTATTTTATACATACGAGCAGAAACGTTTCTGTCGACCTAAAGTAATACTATTGTATGACGCTGCTGTAGAAGTCATATCCACACAGTCATAAAGAATCATTATAAAAGATTACATAATCATGCTTTAAATAAAAAAAAACAATCGATAATACTGATACTTTTTAAGTTAAGATGTTAAATAAGCATTTTCAGTTAATAATATTCCTAACTGGATAATGTCATAGTTTAGTTCAGTTTCGTTGGATATTTCTCTCTCCTCCGAGCTATTTGATTATCACTTGTGATCGCTTTCATTAAAAGGATGCTATACCCTTGGATTATACGTGAATAACGCATTTGCCGCCAGGTAGAGCGGGAAAGTTATGGACTTTAAATCTTTAGTCACGGTAGCGTTGCGTGATCGCCGCGAATATGAAGCGAAACGCGAGCTCGTCTTCCATAATTCCATATCTTACGCGAGCCGATATGTCGTTTATCATCGAGTCGGCGTAGGTTAACAAAACGTATAATCACTAGCGACCTTTATCAATATTTTCACTCGCGCAATATCGCGATGCAAGGAGAGTGGATTTTTTTTTCGAGATACCGCATACCTGGTTCATCGCGCGCGATCGGGAACTTTATACCTTCACTAAGATTCTGTAACGCGTCCGACGTTGCTTTCAACCGTCATAAAATATCGGTGCCATCGCGATACGAGAACTATGATACGTTCGCTGTCGATTTCGCTGACCTGAAACAACCTCTTGGTTTATTCTTCTTGATTTCTTCAAACGTTGCTGTTACAGACTTCCCACGTAACATCACTAAAACTTTTCTAGTTGATATTAATTTCATATGTTATTATATCGCAACGATTTGTTGGTGATTCATATAACATATTTTATAATTGTTTTTATTTTAATATAAAATTTACTAATCTCCATAAGTTTGATAAAAATCATAACTTTCTCAAAGTTATACTTTTAGAAACTAATCTGATTTTAACGTTTCTTTCATTTGTATCCTTTTCTTAGAAATGTATTATGTTATCCGGTCAGAAGTTGCAAGCCTTTCATCAGATCTGTTTTGTAACATAACATATCGTGAATCTACTCGCCGAGCTGCCAGTTAGAAATCTACTGCAAAATTATCGGCATGCAAATAAAAATCTACTCATCCGATCGTTTCCTGCTCGATTAATTATCTATCTTCTTCTTATATTCAAATAGCAAATTATATGATAATATTACAGATGTTACATATATTCCAAAGTTGTTGATGAACGATATTCTTCTTCCTTTTTATTAGACATTGTAACTTTACTATGTATTGTGAAATCAATGCGAACGAACAATTATATCTAAAAGAATATCATAATGTTCTCGCTATGAAATCCTGTAAGTAACTTATTTAGGTATATTGAAATCTTAGATGTGCTACATCGATATATGATGTATCAGATGTACTGTTGATCTGACAATGAGCTAAATAATAGTGGGCATGTTGGTGAAGTGCCTTACTAACAGGCCCATAGAGTGAAACTAGTCTAGATCCGTTGGTGCCTTGTTGGGTTAATTGTTGCGGTAGCTTTGTAATTTGTAGTTCCGGTTGCGGTCGGAGCAATCCGTCATACTGTAGCCGGCACGTGACAAATTACAGCGATATTGCCGTGGACACATCAAGATAGACACTTCTTTGACAAGAACTATCCAATCGGCTTACAATTTTTTATATTGATTTTTCTCCTGATATATACGAAATATTTTTCCGCATTTTTTTTCTTATTAAATTTTAGCGCCGAATTTTTAAAGTACATTTTTTATGATGATGTTTTGTGAAAAACGCTTTTTTAGGATTTTTATTATTTAGTTACGTTATATACGAAATAATTTATTTATTTTAAAATCGTATGCATATTGTCTCAGTCACGTATTAATGATTTAAGATCTAAACTAACGTATCACACTTTTTCCAATGACTACAGGATTAGTAAGACCTTAACGTATACACGTATATAAGGTATATATAAAATATAAAATAATGAATATTATGTAATTCCTCTCAAGATTTGTATATATTTATAGATATAATTATTTGGAGAAAGGAGTTCTACGTGTGTTGCGAAAAAGTTTCACGAAATTGCAACAATATAAATTTATTAAAAATTACACTATTATTACATGATTAAAAAAAATGATTGCTATGCCCAACCATTTAAACTATCCGTCTAAATTTTATTAAATGGCGCATTAAGATAGATTATGTTGAAACTTCAATTTCATAAAAGACTATACATAAAAAAAGTTAGTGAATTTTATATAACACATGCAGGATTTATATCTATAGATAAAATTATTTGGAGAAAGGAGTTTCGATGTTACGAAAGTTTTATGAGCCCAATCATTTAAATTTTATTAAATGACATATTAGCGCGGATAATGTTGAAATTTTTAATTTTGTAAGAGATATTAAGAATATAGTAGAGAGGATTTAATGTTAACACGTACTTCGCGACTTTAACATTCCGCATAATAATAACATCCTTTTAGCTTTGGAAATCAATGAGAAGCGCCATTGGTACCGGTAAAACTTTCCGATTGTGTCTCGAAGCCGAATAAATTAAAACAAATTAAAAAACTGACTTCGACAAAGAGTACTTCGCGATTCGAAAATTGCGGACGTTGCGAATAACGAAGGTAATAATTTATATTGCGCCACCGCAATATAATCGTTTGCTTTTAGCGATGAGAAACTTTCCAATAATTGACGGAGATGACAATCGCGCGCGTTTTGCGAAGATAGGAAGTCATAGACAGCGATATTATTCATATAATGATTTGTATAATGTTCATTGTTAGTGATTCTTAATTGAAAATTGCAAATTTGAGCGTTAAATGAAGATTATTTTATTTCCACTATGTTTGATTTTATTTTGTAAATAATTTAACTTTATAATTACTGATTTTTTAATAAAACTATACAATTCTGTTGTAATAATAATAAAATAAATCCGATGTATATTCAGAATTAATAGCGAGATTAAAATACAACGGCAACAAACACAACCGCAGAAAGATTTTTGAAAGAACGTAGTTTTTTTGCAAAATAAATGTTAATTTTTCCCATAAAGAATATTTACAATTTTTCCTGTCATAAGATCTCTGATCCGCCCGTCATTAACCTTCGTACCGAAAGCTAACGAGTATGTACGTAACTTTTAGTATTTCCGCTTTAATCCACTAATGGCTGCCGCGCGTTTTGTTGCACTATTTTAATGAATTCTTTGTGTCTGACTTAATCACTGTAAAGGTATTTTTAAAAAAGAAATAGACACACTGCGTTTTTTAATTATAAATTTATCTTTTTCTCGTGTAGATCTAATAAAACGCAATTAGTATTTCAGGGCGATTTTGTTGATGTAATTTATAAACGAGTCCCGACAAAATCAATCGGACATTTTTATGCAACTAAATTATTTGCAGTATTTTAGAATAAACGCCATCAATTTAATGCCGGTGTTCATCAACGCAGACTGGAGTTCTACGCAAATTAAATAATGGCGTATACAGGACACGTTGCAAATTAGAATCAAATTTTCTAGAATATGCGCAATGACTGTGATAGCGTGTAATCGAATAATTGATGGGTTAATCATGTTACAGGCAGTAATTCCGACAGTCTGCTAAAATTTTCTCTTGACCGTCCGTCCCCCGTTACCCGTCAATTAAATACGAATGATTACAGTGAATATAAAATTAATCCGAACATTTATCTCATTTGATTTAAACACAGTCCTTCTTTCAATGCGTGTGACGCAAATTATACTGCGGCTAATAATGCAAATTAATATCTCCAACGCGCGCACGACGTCAACATGCGTATCTAATAATATATATGTATTTGAAAAAAATGTTTCTTCATTTTCGCGCGCGTTTTCTCTTTGTTGAGAAGTTCACGTTGTTGTATGCTTCACGGAATGCAACTTCATTATTCAAAATCCGTGCTTTATCTTGCAATGTAATTTTCATTCGTTCTCATAAACCGGAGACGCGGGTGTCGAGTTCGCCGCAAATTTGCGCAACGCGAGCGCAATAGCGCGCAAGAGCGGCGCATTGATGCGCCCGCCTCTCACCTGCGCGTTGAAATACCGGCTTCTGTAATGGAATAAATAAGTAAGCGGAAGAGCCTGTGTCTTCATGGCAACCTGGCATTTTAATTTCCCCTCGAGATATTTCATTTCGCTGCATGTCTTCTTTCCTTCTCGTTCTATCTTATCGCGCGAATTTCTCTCGCAACTATTCCTTACTATTTATTGTTATATCGCGTTCAGATTTTACGAAAATTATTGCGGATTGAACACAAGCATGAGCCGTATTTTGCCACGTATTGCAAACGTACCATAATTTGTATAAAAATCCGGGAAGATTTGCGTGAAATAAATCAACGTTATCTCGAATCAACATTTAATTTATCTTCGTGCAACATACCTTATCTCATTACTTCACAGATAAAGTAATCCTAGACATTGAAAATTTAATTTTTTCTTTAAAATTAAT